CGATTTATTCTTGAATAAATAGCCAATTATTTCAAAAATAGAATTTACTCTGGTTTGATCGAATCGATCGGATAAACAAGCATACAGTTCACTTAATAGTAAGTAGAGATATTGGCCTATAGATTTATTTATTTCTTTACACTTATAAGGTTATTGGATATATCTCATATGTGTAGCAGTGTCTGTCATGAGTCGAAAGGGTCTCCCTATTGTTTCTCCTCACTCGCTCTACTAGACACAGCAGCGTTTTGTTATTATTTTTCATGTGCATTCTGCTTTTTCCTGGTCATGCGCTGAGATATTAGTTACGCACTGGCTTATAATGGTTAAAAACATTACGAAACCGGAAACTATTATATTGCACGCCTCACAACGTAAGGGAGTGCACTACTCTCGATATTTGGCTACATAAAATCGTTCTTATACTTTTAGCTAGACATCAAATCCATATTATTTTTAAACGTTACAATAATAACAGACATTGAATAATAAGATTAGTTTATTTTCTAATTGATTCACTTTAGATTACATAACAAAAAATGTAATTGAAAAAAATATGGACTGCCGTCCGTTGGTTTGTACGTCAGTGAGTCTTTTCGCTTAATTGAAATGTAAGCAATAGATTGAGATATATAGTATTAAATGCGATTCCACACAATCTAAGGAGGATTCCTATTGATTTTTGTTATTGAACTCAACACCGTTTATTGCATGCCGTAAGCGCAAAGCGCACAGGTATGTTCTGCTAGGGCCTAAAAATTATGATTCCAACGTTCTGTCGCATGAAATCGTATCTAGCAATCATATGATACATAAAAATGATATAAAAAGCACATTTTCAGAAAGATAAATGATTGTCAAACTTATTAATATTTTTTTTTAAATCGATTAATTGCTATTTTGCATAAAAAAGGGGTTTTAGATGGGGCTTATGATGTGGATTTATCAAGTCCGCATGGCTTCGTAAACACGATAACTATTGAAAATATCAATTGTTCAACTCAATCTGTTTTTAAAACTCTTTAATTTTGTTTTGTTTAGTTATAATTAAATTTTTTCGGTTAAGAAATGGCGACATTTTCTGTGGTTTGTGAGCCTTGTATTAATTTATTTTACTAAATACACTGTTTCACTCCGTCATTCGTCATTCCAGCCTCGGCCGCCGTTGTGAGTGGATTTTGTGTCTCTTGTTTGCAGAGAAAAAGATCGCCGTAGAAATACAAAATATTCCAAAAACCAAATTTGATACATACTTGACCAAGGTAAGACATTATTATTATTTTTATAATCACAGATTTTTATTACAATATTTTGTTTCCCTAAAAGCACGCATGATTTATATATAAATATACTTATATGTCTTGGACTTTATAGACCTGAAACAGAAATAGAAACAGAAACTTTTTTATTCAATATAGATTATAAATAATACTTATTGAAAGTCACTCTTTTGTATAATTACCACTGGTTCGAAAAAAAAACTCTGTCCTGGGAAGAACCAGCAAGAAACCCAGCGGGACTTTTTTTTTTAAATAACAGCTTACAATCATGTACTCGTATGTTACACAAATTAACAACACAACAAATTAGAAATAGCTTGGTAGCGATCACCTCATTTCCAGGGGTTATTATCATCTATAAATTCATATATTTCATAAATTTTCATAAACACTCACGCCTGTCACCCAGAGGGGTAGGCAGAGATTATGGACTTCCATTTGGCACGATCCTGACACACCTCTCTCGCTTCCTCCACATCCATATACCTACGCATACACGCTCGTCGGTTAAAGGTACTCTTGATTTGGCCCATTTTTAATATATCGCCAATTTGGTCGATAAACTTTCGCCTAGGGCGACCCTTCCCGACTATGCCGTAAATTCATTAATATTATAATAACCCATTTTATACAAACTTAGTTTAATAAAGTTTTTGAACTTTGAGCAGGTCAAATTTTGTATATTTTCTGGAATTTTGTTGTAAGAGCGTATACATCGCCCCAAGAATGAATTACTGACTCGATGGAGTCGAGTAACTGGTACTAATCGCTTGTGTCTGTTCCTAGTATTTACAGAATGCATATCACTTATTTTTGTAAAACTACTTTTATTTTTATGTACGTACATTACATTTTCATAAATGTATTGAGAGGCCAAAGTTAATATATTAATTTCCTTAAATTTTTGTCGCAGCGACTCTTTAGGCTTTTAAGTCATAAATTGCTCTTATGGCCCTCTTCTGTAAAACCAATATAATTTCAATGTCAGCTGCGTGTCCCCATAGCAAAATATCATACGACATTATGCTATGGAAATAGCTAAAGTAAACTAGTCTAGCTGTTTCAACACTAGTTAGACTTCTAATCTTTTTACGGCATATGCTGCAGAAATAAAAGTGTACTTCGGTATCTGCTACTAGAACTCCTCGACGAGGAGAAATAGATGTGCCGAGTTTGGCCTCGTTATGTTAGTTATGATGAGACTTTACCTCCGGACTTGATAGAGTGACTTGAAAGTATACTTTGGTGACTGCTACTGGAACTTTTTGACAAATAGAACCACAATTTACATTTTTCTTAATTTTTCATGATCATATGAGCATTATGAGCCGTGGATTTTTAGATTTTCTAAGCCTTTTTTTAAATCGAAATTTGACATAAAATAATCGGAAAATTTGAATTATTGTAATAATTATAAGGTATTTAGTGAAAACTTGTGTGTAATTAAACTTCTTTAAAAAATTAAGTATAATCATGTTTTACGTAATTTTTGAATACGCTTAAGGCATGTACAATTGGATTTACCAGTATATTTTTTTTCATCAAACTTTCATTTAATTTTCATGAAAAAAATGGCGTGGCGTGGCATGACGTGAAAAAAGAGGCGTGCACTTTTCTACCGACTTCAAAAAGGAGATGGTACTCAATTCAACTGTATGTTTTTTTATGTGTGTTACCTCATAACTTCTTACTTAGAAGAGGGTGTTTGTATTTATGAAATTGTTTAACTCAAAAACTATTTGATCGATGTGTGTGTGTGTGTGTGTGTGTGTGTGTGTGTGTGTTTTTCAATGGAGAAGGTTTATATTTAGAAACAAACAAAATTTTAAAGTTTTAATTTTATTTGCATTTTTTTAAATCAAGCGCGGCGATCAACAAATTAAATTGCATGCGCTAAAAAAAATACGTTGCTGAATACAACCAAAATACAAAATATAATTACCACTCCAAAATCTTAACGATAACACATTATTCTAATTACGAGTATATTGGAATTGTATTAGAATATTTACACATTACTTGTTCTGTTTATTCTATACAAATGAAAATGTCTATAAGACGAAATTGCTAAAAATGTTCCAACTTCCTTTATTACCAAAGACTTTCCAATAAACACATCAACAAAATGTAGGGATACCTTAATCCTAAATTAGAAAGAAAGAAAGAAAGAAAGAAATAAGTTTATTTGGCACATAAGTTATAACAAACAAAGAAAATAATCAAATAGAACAATTTTTAACTTAACAAAAATATTTAAAAAAGATATAATAAGTTAAACGTAATATATGCACCAAAATGGTCTCCACTCAGCTTTAAGTCACGAATTGAAGATATAATTACATCAATTCGTAACGCTGATTTTCAGTGGAGCCAGGAGTATGAGGCAGATGACAATAAACAGCAAGAGAAAAAATATTAACAAAAATATAAAATAAAGGTAAAATAAAATGAACAAATCTGTCAAAATTCATTGTACCAGTGATACATTTATAGTGTAGTAATAACAAAAGGTGGTATACATACAGAAAATTAAAACAAATTGTGTGTGTGTGTGTGTTCGTGTGTGTGTGTGTGTGTGTTCGTGTGTGTGTGTGTGTGTGTGTGTTCGTGTGTGTGTGTGTGTGTGTGTGTGTGTGTGTGTGTGTGTGTGTGTGTGTGTGTGTGTGTGTGTGTGTGTGTGTGTGTGCATGCGTACGTGAGTGAGTGAGTATGTGCGTGTGTTAGTGGGTGCATGTACGGTGGTAGCATTAAGAGTGTATGAGCCATACCATTTATGCCTATTTGCTGGATTTTTGTGCTGAAATCAGAAACTTTTTAATAAAGTTTTGAAAGTGGCAACTGATTTACTATTTCTGATAAATATGGTGGGGGTATGTCATTCCAGCACTTAGTGGCAGCAAAGCGGAAACTGCCACGGAAGGCAGCTGTGTGATGCTTAGGGTATGTGAGTCGTGATGCTGTCCTAACCGCACGCTGCGAGAAAATGAGCTTTTGGTACAAGTATGATGGTTCCCCAGTATTTATTACTCCAAAAAGCAATGACGCAAGGTGGAGAGTACGTTTAGCGGCCATACTCATCAGGTCGTGTCGATTTAAAAATGGGGTTATGTGTGATCTCTTAGAGATTGTGAAGCAGAAACGTGCACAGGCGTTTTGAACTCTTTGTATTAATCTTTTGGTTCTAGCGAGCAAACACTCACCAAATACTGTATCCGCATAAGTTAGCTTCGACAGAATGAGTGCTTCACACAACCTAATGCGCATGTCCACTGTCAAATACTCTCTTATCTGGTACAAGACTTTGAGTCTATAGAAACAATTACGCATGGTTTCTTGTACATGACCCTCAAAACGCAACCTTCCATCCATAACGAGACCTAAGTTCCGAGCTTCCACTACACGTTCTAAAGGATTACTCTTGATGTTAATTTGCGGATTGAAAGTTAGAATAGTATTTGTCTGGTTATGCGTTCCCAGTAACATATACTTAGATTTAATGGGGTTTAATACCAGATTATTTTGATCACACCAATCGGCTATGTGGTTCAAATCTGAATTGATTTTTGTTACTGTAATATTTGTGTCACTGGGTTTAAAAGACATGTACAATTGAAGGTTATCAGCATATATATGATAACTACAGTTTTTTATGGTGTTCACTATATCTGAGCTATATAATATAAAAAGTATAGGCCCTAAAATGGAGCCTTGAGGTACACCTCATGGAACTGGCAACGTGGTAGATATACATTCTGATCCATTGTTTTTATTTATTTTAACAAATTGTGTACGACTAGTGAGGTAACTTGCAAACCATTTTATTGTTAAATTATCAAATCCGTAATAAGCCAGTTTTGATAAGAGTAGAGTGGTGTTAATAGTATCAAAAGCTCGGGAAAAGTCAAGCAAAACTAACAGAGTACCCTCTCCAACATCTTGTGCAGACAAAATATCATCCACTACATCCATCAGAGCGGTTGCAGTGCTACGAGACTTTCTGAATCCAGATTGCTTTTTAGGCAGAATATTATTAGCCTCAAGATACTCCGTCATTTGTGTACAGACTACTCTTTCCAGAATTTTTGACATAAAGGGCAGGATACTTATAGGACGAAGATCCTTGTATTCATTTGGATGCGGCTTTTTGGGAGTCGGTTTTACTAAAGCTACTTTCCATTGCTTTGGGAATACACTTGTTTCAATAGATTTGTTTATTATTCTGGTAATAACTGTTAATGTTCGGAGTAGAGTTAACAATATCATGTTCAGAGTAATGCCATCATGACCTTGTGCATTTGTTTTAAAAGATTTTATTATATTGAGAACAGCTGTTTCATTAACAGTGTTAAGCTTAAAATTGTTAGGCCCAAATCTATCAAATTCATAGCTAGTTAAACGTGATATACTGATTTCATCATTGCCGGGAAGCTCAAGAAAATAATGATTTATATTATTTGGTTTACATAAATGAGTTGGCAGTTCAATGTCTTTTTTCTTAAAATTAGCAACGTTTTGTTTGATATTTTTCCACAAATAACGGGGGTTTTGTATCGTATTAATATAATTATTAAAATATGCAGATTTTTCACTATGAATTGCCGTCCTAATAATGCTTTTTAATTATTTGTAATATTATTTATGAATATCAAGTTTCGTAAATCTACTTTTAGCATGTGATTCATCGCGCAGTTTAGTCATTTCTTTTACAGTATAGGTTATCCACGGATAAGATTTTATTTTAATATAAAACGATCTAAGAGGAGCATGCACATTGTATAGTTCAAGCAAAATATTGTTGAAATTTTCCACCATTTTATCAACATCGCCATTTACTACACTTTCCCATTCTATACAGTTGACATCTAAGGCAAATTTTTCTATATTTATATCCTTTAACGGTCTATAGGTGATTGTCTTAGGTGCATGTTTGATTTTATTAATATTCAATTCACAAGTTAAAAATGCATGACTGCAAAGATCAGGAATATAAATGGCGGTTACGTTATAAAGAGTCATGTTAGAACAAATTACATCAATCAATGTTTCACCATGATCTGTGAAATGCGTCGGTTGCTTTACAAACTGAGTGAGATTCATGTAATCAAAGAAACTTTGCAGTTTTTTAACATTAGTTTCATGTATGTTAAGAAGATTTATGTTAAAATCACCAACTAAGACAATATACTCGTATTTACCAAAGGAAGAAACAGATTCCGTAAGGGCATCAATGAAACTATCAATATTTACCCACGGGGCACGATAAGCCGTACCAATCGCTACTTTGATGCCGTTAATGCTTAATCCTAGCCACATTTGTTCCACTAAGTTGCTAGGAGGGTGCACAATTTTACGAACGTTGACTACATGACTAACGTAAAATCCAACTCCACCACCACGTGCACGCAATGCAGTGGGTCGCGGTACGTGAAGGAACCGATATCCCGGCGGTGACGGTGCACGGCCCTCCTCGCCCTCTCTTATCCACGTTTCCTTAATAGCCATTACGTCTACCTGGTACCGTGACATTGCAACGAGAAACTCATCATGGCGAGTGCCAAGGGAGCCAGCATTTAAGGAACAAATTGACAGTCTTCTCTTTACTACATATTGGAAAACAAACGCATAGACAATTTGAACATACTTGCAGCATAGGATGAACTTATACAAAAGTGTTAAATGGCGCCAACTTAATAAAGTATAAATCCCTAATAGGTAATGTAAATGTGTATTATCCATGTTTCGATGTATTAGATGTAAGTGTGTGTAGAATATGTAAAATGTCAAATCTAAATAATGCAAGAATATTTGGAACGTAGTTTTGTTTAAACGCTGTATGTATAATGTACGAACTAAATAACTTAATATACAAAAACATTGACAAATGAGTAAACGCTTTTAAGCCTAAGGACATACTAATATTCAAAATTTTTTTTTTTTTATAGGATCGGGTGACAAACGAGCACACAGTCCACCTGATGGTAAGTGGTTACTGTGACCCATAGACATGTACATCTATCCTCAATAAAGACTCAAGATGCAGATGCGTTGTCACCCGTGAGGACTAAGATGGAATGCCTCTTTGCCAGTAAAAAGGGTCTCCGGTTCTCTACACTCACCATACGAAACACAGCAGCGTTAAGCTGCTATTTTACGCTGGTTTTCTGTGAGAGCGTGGTCCTTCCCCGGTCGAGCCGACCCATTCGTGCTACAACCATAATATAGCTGCAGCATGGCTCTACCACGTAGAAAAATCTATCTAAACAATCTATACAAATAAATAAAATTGAAGTGTCTGTTTGTAATGTCAAAATTACGGCTTTTTACTAAATGTATATTAAAGTATATACGATACTTATAACCAAAAACACAATTTTTAAAATTTTTGTCTGTCTGTCGGTCTGTCTGTCTGTCTGTTTGTTCCGACTAATCTCTGAAACGGCTGGACCGATTTTGACGGGACTGTCACTGGCAGATAGCTGATGTAATAAGGAGTAACTTAGGCTACTTTTATTTTAGAAAAATAATTAGGGTTCCGCGCAAAAAAAAAAACTAAAACCCCAAATAACACGCGGGCGAAGTCGCGAGGATCAGCTAGTCTTAAAATAAGATATAACAAAAATAAATATAAATAGATTTTTTGAGGGTAAAATTAAAAACTCACTATAACAAAAATAAAACATTACAACAATTAATATAAAACATGGGGTTAATGGTTCAAATAAGCGGGGGTTACAAAAACTTATAATAAAAATGAAAATAATGTTTAACACTTTAAGATTAACACAGTCAAAGAAATACAAATAATAACCTATTAAAGACAAGTATACAGTTAACAGCAGACATAAATAACAATCAATTAAGCTATGCATAACAAAAAGAAACCAAAGTAGGTGTTTTGTTTTAAAATGAAATTGACTTACAAAAATATAAGCGTTATTATTTAGACCAATTTTAGTTACATGACCCAACTTTCTCAATGCCCAAAAACTTTAACCAAATCGTGCTCTGAACGTAAGCGATGTCGTGGTTCACCATTATCTTTAGGCACAAAAATTTTACCTTCCCGAGTCCAAGTGTACTTCCATTGAGCGCGTTTGCATTCTACGCGTGCCTTATAAAACAGTTGCCGGTTAACTTTGGTCAATCTTTCATTGATATCGAATGGAGATACGGCAGAATCGAGTCCTATGCCCCTTTATAATATTTACAACTTATTATATATATTATATTAAATAATTATTTACAACTTTATAGTTTAAAATCTTTTTAGTTTCCAAAAAGTTTATATACAGATTGAAACCATGCATGAAGTTGGTATTCAAGCCCGAAGACCGCTACGTATTCCAGCATTGCGACGTGGCAATCGCGGTCGGCGGCTTTCGTGGGCACGAGTTTCCCCGCTAAATTTGATTACGGAACAACAAATTTACGAACACTTGCAAGGAACATGGGACCTCATACCGTAGCAAGACATTGACAATTTAATTTTAAGTATGAACAATCAATGTTGATCTGTAATTTATATAAGAGTTGGCAACACAGATTATTAATAATGAGATTTTATAAGATATTTTCAATTTCAATTAAAATTAATAGATAAAATTAATTTTATAAGAAGAAATGAAGTTTTTTATCATATAAATTTTCTACTGCGATTAAGAAAATTAACATATTTATTTAAAACAAGAAAATTACGAAATGTTTTTTATTTTTTATTAAATACTTTATAATAATCTATCATTCTTCCATTTACTATATCAGAAAATTCTTCATAGATTTTTTTAGATATTTAATGAAATATAAAATATCGCTAGATTATGTTGATGTAGTGTGCATGGGAGTTAATATTAAATACGGATACTAACATAACTATCATAAGTAACTATCATATTATACTAATGTAAGCTCTAGCAGCGGTCTACTTTTTGTTAATACAAAATACTAATCCGACTACAAAGTACTCAAGTGTTTGCCAATACTCGGCTCTGAGCCAACGTTATATCTTAAAACTTTATAGTCTTACATAATTTTATAATATATTACACACTAAAATTAAGCCACTTTTGAAATTAATTTCTCTGTGAAAAGTTTTATACTTTTGACACATAAAATATTCATAATTTGTGTTTAAGTGCAGAAGTCTGGAAGTAACTAACTGATAATAATGAAGTTTTATTTTGTATTTTTTTTAATTCATCATCATCATCATCATTACAGCCCTTCAAAAGTCCACTGCTGAACATAGGCCTCCCCCAAGGAATGCCATAAAACACGGTCCTGAGTCACCTGCATCCATCGACTTCCTGCATGTCTTACCAGGTCGTCACTCCATCTAGTGGGAGGACGCCCTACACTTCACAGTGGTAGAGCCACGCGGCAGCTTTTGCTGTCGCACGGTTGGGCCAGCTCAAACCGGGGTGGTACCACGACCTCACAGAAAACCAGCGTGAAGTAGAGGTTTACCTCTGCGTTTCCCTTGGTGAGTGCAGGTGGCCGGAGGCCCTTTTTACTGGAAATGAGGCATTCCATCTTGGTCCTCACGGGTGACAACGCATCTACATTTTGATTTGTGGATTTATGTTGAATGGAGGATAGATGTAGATGTCTATGGGCCGCAGCAACCACTTACCATCAAGTGGACTGTGTGCTCGTTTGTCACCCTTATCCTATATAAAAAAAAAACCTTCGTCCGCCGGTACGAGGCCGCCACTCGAAAACCTTTTTTCCCCATCGGTTGTCGGCTCTTCGAGCTATATGGCCAGCCCATTGCCACTTCAGCTTACTGATCCGTTAGGCTATGTCGGTCACTCCGGTTCTACTGCGGATATCCTCATTTCTAAATTTATCACGCAGAGATTATTCTTTTTAATTAAATGTTGTTTACTAGCAATCCGTCCCGGTTCCCACGGGTGATTTCTGAATCTCGACAACATCGACAACATCGACTCTAAACCATCTAGGGACCGCTAAACTCAAAATCGGTTGAGCCGGTTTTGAGTTTTAGCGAGACTAACAGACAGCAATTGATTTTTATATATAGTGAAATATTAATGTTATCTCTATACATATAAATAAAATTGAAGAGTCAGTTTGTAATATTGAAATAACTGGCTGTTTAATTAAACTTGGGTGGTTATTTTAATGATACACGGACAACCATTTTTAAAATGTTTTTTGTCTTTCTGTGTGTAAGGGCTAATCTTGGAATGGCTGAACAGCTTGTGATAAATTTGTTTTTATTACTTTTTTTTTAAAACGTTACC